GTTTGTTTTTGCCCCTGTCCTGCACCTCTATGGAAACAGCACACCCATGACTAGAACTGTGTCTCACCATTGGTGCATTTTGCTGTAACTCAGAAGAAAAAAAAGAGCCCAACTGATGCAGCAATAACGCTTCATATTTCGCTTCTGTTACAAACAGCTTTTCGAGCATCTAAATCCATCTACAGCTGTGACTCTTTGCTACAGACTTTGAACTTTAACAGTTTCCAGAGCAGCATGATTAGTCCTGCAGGTCTTACTACTGGTTCTCTAGTTTTTTGCTTCTTCTACAGCAGACACTGTTGACTTACTTGCTCTGAGAATCGATGAGTCACCTGATCTGCAAACTCTTGCATCTCTCCCTCCTCACCGTTTGAGTGGCAGCTTGGACTTGGCACCTCAATTCCGTGGCTTTCCAAAATGGCAGCTTCTGGTTGTGTCAGAGAGGAAAGCAGAGGTTGGGTAAATACAAATGTGCACGTAAATTGTTGGATGTCAGCACCAAAAGCCTCTTCCACTTTGGCAAATTAACAGGTCCTCACCTATGTTCGCCCTTCTCTTCATCTCCTTCCGACGGTTAGCGAACCAGTTATACACCTTCAGCGCCGTCACACGTTCGAACTCTGACAGTTTGCAACCTGAAACATGAAACGAATAAAACACACAACCATGAACCCCAAAACACAGTTAAGTGCTGAAGTGGAATCAAGAATTTGTCGTGCTGTTAAGGTATAATTTCAAAGGGATAAAAGCTGATTAGAGGAGTGAATTTGAAATATAAAAAACAATAAAAACAGCTTGCTATTCACAGTAAGCAGCTGCTGATATGATCCACGCCTCGCCAAAGAAAACCTCACAGGACTTTCCATAAAGAATAGTTGGAAAGGGTTCCCAGGTTATCGCTAATCGTTTGACTTGTCATCAGTCCACAGTGACACATATAGACAGAACTGTCCATACATGGAGACGATTTAGTACTGCACTGGCAGTAGGATTGAACGATTAATTGATTACGAATCAAAATCACGATTTGAAACAACGCTATTAGCAAAAGGCTGCAATTTAGGACATGCATTATGCAGCGCATCTGACCTGGGTTTTAAACTGTCATGTCAATAGTCTTTCAAATTTATGCCATTGTCATCATGTATTTGTATTGTGTATTTGTGCCAGTGTCATACTGATGGTATTTCATGTGCAAATAATGCATCACGTTTTAAATCTATTACACAGTGAATGTTGAACTGAAGCATAATTTTAAAAATAAATACTAAAAAAAAAGTAATTGCAATATAAATCAGAGGCCCTGAGTAATAACTGGAGGTTTACAGTAATCATTGGAGCTGGTTATCATCTCTCTTCCTGAGTCTGCTGTAGGCAAATCATGGCAGAAGACTGCACACAGTATGGTGTCAACGGCAGGACACCACAGAGGAAGCCTCCAAAAACACTTTATTGTGCAGCTGAAGTTTGCCGAAGAGAACGCTGACACTCCACGATGTTACTGGGAAAATGTTTAGTGAACTGATCAAACAAAGGCTGAATTATTTGGAGAGAACACGCAACACCACATGTGATATAAAAAAGGGAATGCCAGAGTTTATAAAGGTATCTCACAGGATAATATCAGGCGGCTGTTCTGGGGAAGCTCAAGAGAAGCTGGGTTACACAACAGGACAAAGACCACACACATGGAGCTCAATCTACGACAGAATCATTTCATACAAAGAACATCCTCTTTTTGGGGATTCGTCTGACACATATCTCCACACAGCTCCAACATCCATGTGTCGTCCAAAATTTGCGACTGAATGGACTGTACGCATTTCATGAGCTTGGATAGATGCTTGTTTTAAGGAGAGGCTTTGCGAGGAGAGTCGCTGTTATCCACAACTTTAAAATTCATCATTACTTGAGTCATAATTATAGTAAGAATGAGTTAAAAGTGTAGCAGTCGCTGGTGGACTTTGGAGGTGCTTTGATTTGTACAAACACAGTGGGAAGTACCAAATTCTGTTCAAAATTCCTTCTGAAAGTTCTGCAGGTCTGATTTGCAGCTGAAAGAAATGCTTGTTTGAGATTACTGCTGAATCCAAAGGTTCACTTACGTTTCACCAACAGCACTCTGGATGTTTAATTGGTAAGAGCACGAAAGATTATAATTGTTTGTGTTGCTTAATCACATTGTGTTTATCTATACTTATGACTCAGGTGAAAATATTCATATTTTTTTTCCGAAGAAAGCAGAAAACAAGCTAATCCCAAGGATTCAAATACTTGAGCAGCTGATATAAAGCAAAGAGAAGCTTTTTTAAACCTGAGAAGATGTCAATAGCAAAATTAGCATTTTCACCTCATAAATAACTAAAAGTCTTTTCAGAACTACTTCAGATCAATTATACAGTAAAAAATAATTTAAAGAGTGCTTTATTCTGAACAGCTGCCCTCAGATGTTCTGACAGGAACTGATGTTATTAAAAAAAACAACTCCTGATACCTGGTTTCTGGATGACTGAGTTACAGGCGTTGGCGATCTCCTCCCGCTTTGCCTCATCCGGGTACTGGTTCTCCATGAAGAAACTGTAAGAGAAGAAAACACACACCGAGGGTTAGAACACACTGCATCACAGGCTCCACGTTTATTAGGAGATGGCACCAGCCTGAGCAGAGCTAGTTACGCCCTAATTTTACACCTCATCAACTTTTAGTCTTTGTATTGAACCGCAGGAGAGAAAGGGCAATATTTACACAAGAGAAGAGCATCAGGGTCCTCGCTGGAAAAGAATACATAATGGCTGCATTAAGTGGATTCATTTCTGCAATTCAAGCTTCTGCATACTCAGATCTCTTCTTAGGCCTTTAAGTATGAATATTCTCTGGAAAAAGCTGAAATGTATTCATCTAGGTGAAGATCAAAGCAACACCGCCACCGTTTTCTCTCTAAATTTGCCTCACTCGTGTCTTGCTTTTTTTTTTTTCCGTCCCTCCGAGGCTGAAAAAGAATCATTATCTCACATTACAAAACACACAGGGATCAATTTCTTCCAGCCCTCTTATCCTCTCACCCTCTGAGTTGCCCTATCCTGTCTCTCTCTCTCTCTCTCTCTCACACACACACACACACACACACACACACACTCCACATCATCTTCACCTCTACTGTATCGTCCTTGGGTCTAAACTAGCTCATACGGATCAGCACTGCAGTGGAATTGCGTAATCCCGGGACGCTGCTGGTGAGTGTTGTCTGTGTGGTGTTATTACTGTGAGTGCCCAGACTGCTCCCTATACTTAAAGCAACCATGTAATAGAGAAATCAATTGCGCGCAGTGGGTAGGACTGTACTCCTCATTTCTCAGCATCCTTCTGGGTTACTGAGAACACTGTCTGGGACAAATATGTTGCAGAGAAGCAGGATTATAATACACCTAATAAAAAAAAAGCATCATCATAAACTCGACTGGTTCTGTTCTGCAACAAAAGTGAGAAGTCAGCAGTGGGACAGTAAAGGACATTAATGCTGGGAAGGTTATTAAAATTGAATAATTACCTCGAGCGATGCTGTATTCCTGCTCCGACTATTCAAATACTGACTTGTTTAAACTCACCTGAAGCCATCAGGTGCTTTAAAGTTTTCAGCAGACCTCGACTGACCTTCATGAGCTTTTTTCATAGTTCAGAGCCAAACATAAACTTCTTTGTAGTCTTGTAGTTGTGGATGAAGGACAAACAGGTAGATGTAAAGACTTGAGGGGATTTGACAAGGGACTAATCGTCGTGGGGGTCAGCGTTGGTAACAGGGTTCTGGGGATTTGATGCAGCACACTGAATGTGACATCAACTCAGTGCTTCTAGGATCTGCCGCATCACATCACCACATCACACTTTCAGGGGGTCTAAGGAGTCCAGAGCCATCTTGGTGATCATAACATCTCTGTTCCATTTTCTCACGTAACACTAATGCAGCTCGAACTCTGGTCCTCGAGGGCCGCAATCCTGCATGTTTTAGATGTTTCCCTCTTCCAACACACCTGATTCAAATGATCAGGATCGTTATCAGGCTTCTGCAGAGCTTGATGATGAGCTGATGATGATGATGACATCTAAAACTTGCAGGATTGCGGCCCTCGAGGACCGGAGTTCGACACCCCTGATATACAGCGTGTCTCCTGTTTTAAACAAGTCCAGCTCGCTCACCTCTCCATAATCGATTGGCACTCCTTCCTCCAGGTGAACCTGCTTCCTCGACGCAACCTCAGAGGCCCGCCCACGATCCCTGCTCTGTCCCCAGCCATGATCCCTGTCCTCCAGTCGGGTTCCTCCTTCACCAAAGAACGCATTGACAGGGTGGCACCTGAAGGAGAGAGAATAAGCAGCAGTTTAACTTTTATGTTATGCAAAGAGACGGCTTCCTGCTGCACCAGCTGAACGCGAAGTTGAAAGATAAAGCCGACATTGTGACGAGTTAGTTAAGCATGTGTACATATAAATACAGTCGACCATGATCAAAAACATTGTCACACAAAAAGGATGAATGGAACTGAAAGACAACACTAAGTAGGGAGAGAGTAAGAAACCTAAAACACGCAGTTTAATGAAAAAAACATGTAATGTAGGCTATCACATGTGAACTAAGTAGCATAGGACATGTCAACTCAAAGCAAGCTGCAGTCAAACAAAACGATAGAAGATAGATTTTTGGATTGCTTCTGTAGTGCGTAGATGTTCCTGCTTGTGGGTGAGGTGGATGCATCACACATAAACATGGTTAAAAAGTAAATAAATAAATAAAACATTAACAAAAGTCTAGATGAGGGAATGCCAAGAAAGGGGTTCAAAACTTTCTAGCACCTTTTAATAAGACACTTAAATACCCGTTTCACCGCTAAAAATATGATGGAAAAAAGGTACATCATTTAACCTAGAATGATTTATTATTATATCACATTGTTCCTTGTAGTATATTAAGATTTTTAAAAAAGCCTTACAATATAACTCATGAACTAAATCTGAGATGGATGTCAGATTGTTGAATGGATTAATCAATGAAAAGTTACAAATCCTTTTATGTTTTTTGCTGCAATTGACACTAAATCACTGGAACTCCGTGAGCCTCTTGGCTACGGTAGCGAGCAGTGGGGGGACGGTGCTTCCTGCGGGCCTGATGGTGCTGAATGAAACCGAATGTGCGCCCTCCCACACCATGTTTAAACCAAGCCATGTTTGAACTGACACATAGCTGCCGTGACAGCCTGCTGACAACAACGGCAAAGCCAAGAGGATCTGAACAGAATGGAGCCGCGGCAACTTAGCATCAGGGGCGCGATCCTCTCGTTTAGCTCTGCCGTTTGAGACGGCTGAAATAGTCCCCAGGTTGACAGAGCGGGTGCGGGATGATTGTCATGCAGGCCAGCTGATGTGCAGGTGTTTCCTGCGGCAAGCCGCTGAGGCTGGGGGCAGGTAGGTTACCTGGCTGGGCCTGGGCAGCTGCAGCAGCAGCAGTGTACCACGGCAGCAAGTGCATCAGCAGCTCTCTCTGCCTGCTCCACGACGGGTTGGGGTTGAGGTTGGTGTTGGGGTTGGGGAGGATGTTGGGGAGGCTGCCACTTGCCCCTGCTACCGTCCCATCTCTGTCCCCTCCCCTGGCCCTGGGCATGGGGCTCACGCTGTGCTGGCTTTCACTCCATCTCAGCCCTTCAGTCGGGACAAAACCAATAGTCAGGCAGGCCACAGCCATGGATTAGGTTATAGACACCAGAGTTGTGGCAATAATTGGAGGCTAGTAGTTTACATTTATATCTGTGTCTCTGGATTAAATGACACACTCCTGTAGACCTGCCTCAATAATATGACATCAAATGTCAGCTTTGCAATTAATTTCAGCGTGTTTTCCCAATTAGAAATGAATTTGACTGACATTGCTGCTTCTTTTGAGGTTCGTGACGGGCAGGTCAATAGGAGCCTATGCGAGAAGCAAAGCACTGAGGCCACTTTGAATTGGAAACATTGCAGAAAAGTGATTATTGTTAGTATCACTGTTAATAGCCTGTTTGTTAGCCATGTAGGAATGAAAACCAGCACCAGAGTACCTCCAGCATCAGGGCTGAGAACTACAGAGGAGCTAAAGCAAAGGCTGGGTGGGTTCGGTGGGAGAAGAAAAAAATAAATAAAAGGATTAAGATGAAGGGAGACAGCAGGGACAGCAGATGGTCCAGCAGTGGCTTTGTGTATTTCATAGACTAATAAATGTAAAAGTGTGACTTTTTAACATGATTTACTGTGAATGCATGCTGTTTGACACAAATCTATAAAAGCTGTGAGCATCTTGAGCGGCGACTCATTTGCGATGCGCTGGCTGTTTAAATGCATGCTGAACTTTTTAAGTAGCTGAATCCCTGAATCCTAGGACATGGAGAGGTCAGCGCCGACCCAAGCTGTTACTTTAGCCCCGAACAGACAAACCGCATTCACCCACTAAAGTTTCATTTCCAAACCAGAAGCCTTAACATTATTGATTAGAATCTCCTGTGACGGGACTACCTTTATCATTTGTCTTTCCTCTGAAATTATAGATTTGTCTCGTGTCCTTCCTTGACCTCGCAGCCTTTTAGGACCAGGTTGGAGTTAGGAATTAAAGAGGTGTTCACCATGCAGGAGGATGGAGGGTAAAGAGGAGGATGGACGGCGAAGGGTTAGCAAGCAGTGGTTCACATTCATGAAACACAAGACATATTATCCCTTTTTAATACAGGCCCTCCATTATCTAATCTATCATCTATCATCATTAACCTGACATTCAACTTGGAGGCGCTAATCTGCACTTTCTTATAATTATTGCTTCCATCTATTAGCGCTGTGTGGATCTATATCTCTCTCCTCTGCTCTGTAAAAGTCTAATTTTACCCTGGATCTGACACACAGCGCTCGTCCTACCCTCGACAGTCTCACCTGGGTTATTCCTCTCCAGCAGGTACCAGCGGTAGAAAGCTCTGCGTTTGGAGTCGCTCATCTCCAGGCCTTGCTGCAGCAACCACTGGGAGATGTAGCTCTGGCTGATGCCTGAGTGCGGGAGGTAAGACATGTTACTTTAACACATCGGAGACAACTGATTTATCTCGTGGCGCGCCGGCAGCATCGGTACTATTGAGATCGGCCGTGATCCAGCTCTGGAAAACTCCTGTTAAGCTAATGAAGCCATCCCAGCATCAATAGTTTAATTAACAGCATGTGATTTAGTGCAATACAATTTCATGGGAGGGGTTGGGAAAAAAAGTTTACTGAACTTGCTGCTGCGTGTTAAGTGCAGCACAAGCCCTTCTGCTTTAATGCATTACCGATACAAACATAAATAATATTAAGGCAAACCCATTTATAGGCTCGACTTGAAAGACATGTCTGGCTGAGAAGTTAATTTTCTACCCAAAGACGCTTATATTTTATTCATTAAATAAAAGGGTTGCTTACAAATGGTTACTCTGCTGTTTTAGCATATGTTGTATGATGTGACATACGACGTCAGTGGCTGCAACTACGATTCCATCATTGTTATTTTAGCTGCCAGCCTTGCTCTCTAAATACTTTCAATAAATTTTGCCTGAACTAAACAACTATAAACCCAGACAAGCATGGCCAAAACCTTAAAAACTATCAGAAAAACTACATGTTAATCAAACAAGTTAAAAAAATAACAATAGCAGAACAAATAATTCTCATTATTCACAAGCATAAAAACCACATACAGTCCCAGTATGCAGCTGTAATACAAACATATTAAATCACATTTAATATTCATGCCCTGTGATGGACTGGCAGCTTGTCCTGGCTGTACTCCGCCTCTCATCCAATGTCAGCTGGGAGAGGCTCCAGGCCCCGTGACCCTCTACAGGAAAGAGAATTCAGGTAATGGATGGACAGTGCTCATGCCAGGCACTGCCCAGCTACTGCATCCTTTACTAATGCATTTTTTAAATATAAATATATACATACGTGCGTGCACAAAGATGTATTCAGATGCTCATGCACATTGCAAATATCTCTATGATCGAGCTTTATGATATCTATGACACAGACATAATGAGCTGACCCTGTGTCGCATATTCTGACTTGTAATGCAAGAACATCCCACTATGATAATGTATTATGCTTCAATACTACAAGTAGAGCTGGAACTCTCTCTCACACACACACAGTATATCTAAAAAAAAACAGATAATTCACCAATCAAAACGATTAATCCTACTGTTGACAAGTCTTCTAATCTATGTGAAAAATTGCTCTAGACTTTCCAAGTGCACAGATTTTAAATCCAAAATGATATTTAAAAACAGAGCAGAGAAAATAAGTAATTTTTCCCATTGAGAAGTTGGAGTGGGAGTATGGAAAACATCTGCATAAGAAACATGCATCTGTGAGAGTTATGAACTTATTTACGTTGCAAGAACTGCTTCTCGTCTGCTTTTCTTTTGCACATTTTTTAATTTAACAATTGCATTTGCAGGATGAAGGTGAACCAGAGTCTGCTGTCAGAAAAGTAGAAACACGAGCAAACTAACCATCCGACTAATGCACACGCTGCAACATTTGACTAAACTTCCCGCCAGCTCTGATTATGTCGACAAACGAACTCATGGCCAGCGCAGCTTTACAGATAGCTGTGGGATTTCCTGATCGAGTGCTGCAACACTGACAGTGTTCTTTACTTTCTGGTGAAATGTTTTTAGCCCCCAAAACACCAGAACACTTCTGTCTCTATAAAGGAACCGTGACACTCGGCCAGCGTTGGTGTTCTGTAATGTACAACTTCATTTTATCTTTGTGCAGAAGACAAGTGAAGCTGCATTTAATCCTCCACGCTTTCCTCAGAGTCCTTCATCACAACTAATTAGCTTTAGTTACGTTTCATTTTGCAATTTAGTTGACTAAAAACACAAGCTCTGAGTGGTTGCCCGTTTTGCTTTATTCAATCAAGAATTTGTTCTATATCATGTTTGAATGAAGGCTCAGAAATGTAATTTAATTCAACAGTGAGATTCCCAAGAATCAACCACTTCCCGTCAGCTCTGTTTACGACTGCCCACTAGTGACAGTTAAATAAATGACTTTATGACACAGAGAAAGCACGATACCTGTCACTTGGCCTACGATCGCCTGAGAGATCCTGCGATTGTTGAGGAAAGTTTTGATCTCTTCTTTCACCAGGTTGCTGTCTCTCCTGTAACAGGGAAAAATAACAAAACATTATGACACAAGAACCATTACTCGGTGGTTAAAACACGAGCCTTTGCTCCGACTAACCTTATTCACTGATGCTTCTCTTTTTTCAGCCATCCCTAAACACCTGACCTGAATTAACTCCACTAAAATTCTGGAGAATAAGCCTGCACCTCTGGGGACAGCAGCTGTCATTATCTGATGTTATAATAGTCCCTCTTTGTCTCTACTATTCTTTTGGTCTTTTTTTTTCCCAACTCATCCTCAGCCAGCACTTATTTATCTCTCCGGCTCTCTGATAACACTCAGCAGCGCCGTCCTCCCTCTCCCTTTCTCACCTCATGTACTCCTCCACCTTCTCCTCCAGGTCCCACTCCTCCTCCCCCATCATGTCGTAGCTGAACGACCGCTGAACGGCCACGCTGGGAGGATAGAGGGGCGGAGGCGAGGCCTCGTAGCTGTTGCTGGGGGACAGCGCGGCGCCGTCCAGGCCGGAGGTCTGCGTGGTGGCGGAGGCCAGGGACAGCGAGGAGGAGGAGGATGAAGATGAAGACGGGGCTGGGGCGGCCGTGGTGGGGGTGTTGTTGGACGGGGCGGGGTGAGAGTCACAGTGCGTCGGGCGGTGGTCCGGGTCCAGCCTCTCCAGGGACTCCAAAGCGTGGATGATCTGAGGTTTGGTCATGCCGGAGAGACGGAGGCGCTGCAGGAGGTCGATCTGTTCGATGGTATAGCGTGGCTCCACCTCACAGCACTCCATTCTGGCATCTGCATGCATAATGTGGAGGGGGGGATGTACGTTTTATCAAGGTGAATTTGAGACTGGCAATCTGAATGAAACACAAGCCCAAACTTGTAAGTGAATAGGAACCAACTGTGGCCCTATTAATACACCAAAGAGCTGCATGGCTGGGTTGATTTCCCACCAGATAAACAGCACCCCAAGACTTCACAAAGTCTTACCAAGACATACGCTGCTATATTTATCTCTACTCAGCACCAGCCTTAAATTTAGATAATATGTTGCGGACTTTTTCAGAACCTGCAGACAAACTGATAAATGATGAAAGGATTATTAATAGATGAAAACCGAAATAGAAAAAGACACACGCGGCTCAACACTAACTTCCTTTGTGGGGGTTCATTTATCTTGGAATACAAAGTCTGTAAATGCAAATATGATTCATGACATCAAAAATTAAACAACTTTATAAAACTGTACTTAAGGGGGGTAAAAAAAAAAAAAGAAGAGACTGCATTCTCCTCTGAAGAACCCCTGGGTCACACTAAATTTTGGCAACCTTTCAAACACTTGGCACAGACACTTGGGGCTAACCTTGCTCTATTTGTCCAGGGTGGAATTAAAGTAAGATCACCCTGGCATACATAACCTAACATCAGGTCCCCTCGGCCGAGTCACATCCGTCCGTGCTTTCGTTACCTGTCCGTCCCGCAAGGTTGCAGGTAGTCTAACGTTCACCAATACAGAAGACGACAATAAAGTCAGTGAGAGTGTCTGTCAAACTGACATGACCTTGCATATTTGAAATGGGACGACCCTTTGGACAACTTCATGTTTTGTTTTTACAAATCTTGGGACCTCCCTGTTCAGTTTGGTGTGATTTTATCATTTTGCACATCCTGTTGTGTAACTCCAGCAAAACAAGCTGAGGTGAGTTACAACAAGCAGAGCCTTTAAAAAGTTTGGATGCATGTCTAATGCACCGGACAAACACAAACATTTCTAACATACCTCAAGTCTAACAGAGCCCCAGATGCGCTTTAATGGACAGACTGGACAAAGTTAACTTGCAGGATTTCCACATTCAGACTGTTTACACCACACTTATCTTAACTCTGCTACTTTCACCACACTAATCATTCTGCGCAAAACTACAAGACTTGGCTAAAAAGTTAAAACGCTGCCCGGTGTGTGTGTCTCTTACCTGTCGGAGGGGGTGACACGGACAGGCGCCCCGGGAGCGGCTCGGTGCGTGGGGTCGCGGCGGGGACACACCACTGTCGCATGGCTCGGCGGAGTTCAGCTCGGCTGGACCTCTACGGAGGCAGACAGGAGACTTGCTGCAGTGTGTTGCGCTTAAACCGCCTCTATTAGCATGCTGGCAGACCTACAAGAGCAGATGACTCGCTAGCGGGCTGCGTTGGCTAAGCTAGCACCGTCAACTGTGGCTGGTTCCCCTGAGCTCCAACCTCCATCGACAGCTGCTCTGCTGTCTGTTAGCGCCGCCACAGCCGGAGCCGGAGCTGTGCGGGCGGCCTTCAAAATAATACCACGCTCACGATGCACTGTTGGGAACTATTTGAACAACAATCACCATCACTGATCACATCACAGATAACTTCACTGATTGTTATCATATTATGTGGCATGTTCATTCTCAGCTCTCTGCTCTGTAAAACCCTCTGTCTTTGCACTGTTTTCTCAGTTTGCACATTTTGTACAGTTGTTTTATTTATTTTATTTTATTCACCTATTTTTATTTGTAATTTTTTAAATAGTATTTAACTTTGGCTCTTTTTCTGTTGGGACTGGTGTTTTTCTCTTGCTGCTGTACCACAGTAATTTCCCAGACTGGGATAAATAAAGTATTTTTCTATTCTATTCTATTCTATATTCTACAACCAGCTGTGTTCCCAGTAGACCCACAACGTGCAATTTCCCCCACAGCTAATATACCTCTAATATGTATGTATGTATATATCTACATTTGCACTGCTTATTATTATTATTGTTATTATTATTACTATTATTATATATTTGATCCCTATCTTTTATATATATATATCTTTTCTATATATACCCCCATTCAGAAGCCCATTTTTCATATTCTGTTTGCACTATTCTCTTTGTTTGCACTATTTCTTATATTTATATGTATATTTTTTATCGTTTATTTTTCCTGTCTCATATATGTGTATCTCTGTTTAATGCTGCTATCAACAATGTGAATTTCTCCACTGTGAGATAAATAAATGCATATCTTATCTTATATTACTATTATTAGTAATATAATTATTCACATTGCTATTCTTACTATTACTCTTATCACACCGTGCTGCTGTCCTATCTAACAGTTTGTTTCCTTGTTTACTGCCTTTTTCTTAACTGATGTGTGCGACTGTCTTTGTCGGTGTTGTGCTGTTGCTAGAACAACAATTTCCCTGAGGTACCCAACCGAAGGGATCAATAAAGTTCTATCTAACCTAATCTAATCTAACTCTCACTTTCAAAAGAGCAAATACAAAAGTTCAGATGACAAAAAAGTGACTTAAAACAATGCTTTTGCGTACAACTGATTTACAAATGGTGGACTAAAGATCAATTGGAGTTCCTTTCACTTATACTAAGTGGACTAGCAGATGGAGCCACCACATCGGCCCTAATTAAAAGCGTAAACTGGGTTATGCTTTACTGCATACTCAATACGCATTTGTTAGTCCATCCATTTGTCCAGCTACAGCTACTCAGTCTTATTTTACTGTCTGTTTTTTCCCAGTTGATTGGTGACTACTCTAAAATATCAGGAATAAAAAGTCCAAAAGTCTTCAGTTTCAAAGATGTGTTCAGTTAGCAGCTTCATTAAATATTCACTGATGAAAGGCAGCAAACCGTCACATTTAACAGACTGGAAAGATAAACGATCTGAAATGGGCGAACTAAATGTATTTGTAATGCTTGTCAGAAAGCTGTACAAACAACATTCTGAGAGTCAAATTTCACCTCAGTTTGTGTTTAATTGATGTCGTTACAGGATGCAAGCAGTTGTTTCACTTGCATTTAGTCTGATTCACCAGATATACGCTACTGGGCTTACATTCTACATAAGCCTGACGTTGGCTGCACATTTCACAAAGGTTTCTTCTCTCCTTCCATCGAGTCCTTTTACCATTTTAAAAATTCCCCTTCACTACGGTAAACAGCAGCACCCTCCCGGCTAGCAACCCTGCCAGTTTTTTTTCTTCAGTGAAATACAAATTTCAATCACAGCTCTCCCGTCGCTGTCACTGTCGCTACATCCTTTACTGCCTGCTGTGACAGCAACATGTATCTACACAATGGTCTTGCTATGAAAGACTAACTGTGGAATATTTATTGGCTGTTTTCGCAATCAATCGATTTGCTGCTGCAAAATGTCAGAAAAGTGACGAAGATGTCGATCACTGTTTCCCAAAACCCAAACTGACATCCTAAAATGTATTGTTTTGTCCACAATCCAAAGCTAATTAGTCTACTGTCATAGAAGAAGAGATAAACCAGAAAATACTCACAAAAACAAAACTGGAACTTGACAATTTAGACATTTATCTTAAACTAAGGATGTACGATATATCAGTCATAACATCGGTATCGATTATCGTGGTTTTTCCGATGTATCGGTTCGATAAACAAATTTAGCCGATGTGAAAAATTGTCTAACATCAGCGCCTTCGTCTCTACATTTGATATCGCTGCTATTTCACAGATGTTTTTACTTAAATGGTCCTGGACTTGAATGTTAAATATGCTAAAATATGTTTTACTTTTCTTACGTTAGAAAGAAGAATACGCAGTCTACTTTGGTATGGGCTTCTTTTGAATAGTTTTCTCACAGTGCTTACTTATACTAACATTTCGGTGTGAACATAAATTGAATAAATTATGAATATGTCATAATTTAATATGACATCAGAAGTCTTAATATTGGTATTGGCCAGAAATTTTATCATTGTGCATAAATCAATTATATATCAAAATAACAGATGAATCATTTTAATTCATTTCAAAGCTGAGAAACTAATCGATTAATCAATCAATTATTGCAGCTCCGTTTAAAATGCAGTTACGTCGAATGAGGCGCATAAATATATTGTGCTTTTATTTTGAAGGACAGCCGGAACCGCTATATCGAGTGCGGCTACTTTGACACCACAATCCGTCCTGTCTCGGCTAACAACTTACCCAAAACTTGCCCCTTTCATGTTACACTGACAGTATTTCAAATGAGCTGCTATTTATGAAGCCTTTGCGGTTCTACGTGGCGGCGAGCAAACATTTGTTGGGTCGAGGGGCTGGGACCGGGGGCCAGCTGCTAACGAGTTAGCTCGCTAGCTAGCTGAGTTAGCTGAGGCAGCTAGCAGCAGCGGATTGTCCCACCGCGGAGCCACCTCTCTTACCTCCCGTTGCTGTGGAGAGACAGCCGCAGCCGGCTGGACGGGGGACGAGCACGGATAGTTAAAACTGTGGAGAAAGTGTCGGTCCACTCCACCCCGCTGTGGAAAGTAAAGTCCCGGGTCCGGAGGCTGGCGGGGTAACTACCGAGCAGAGGGTGGACGATGCGGGGTCATATTGTCTTTCAGCTATGCAGTGGGGAAATAGTGTATGCAAATGTGTGGAGTCTGTCTCAATTTGTGACCCCTCACCCGACACTACTGTAAAGGCAGCACGAATCATCATTACGATTCCGGTTGGACTGTACGCCATTAAAAAAAATACCACATGTAAATCTGAACACAAATGCGCCACTTACCTGAGAGTAAAAGGTTAAAATATTATTGCAAATTAATTTGAAATTTACATCCCAACACTGCTCCATGTATATTATGTAATTTTAACCGGCCGTAGCGACGCACAGTATTCTTTTATTTTGGTTGGCTAAGTTAGGAAATTAGTCACTTAATTCGTCCGACTTGACGGAGCAACATAATCTGTCTGCAGCCCTCCTTTGCGAGCAAGGAAGTTAAATGAGCTGGATGTAAACAAGAATTATCATAATTATAAGCCTGCAGCTGCTCTTAGCTGTGAGACTTCTTGCAGCTGGATAACATCCCAGCTGATGACCATCCTTAAATATGAAATTGCACATTGTGGGGGTCCCACACTTGCATCGTTGCACTCTCAGAGAATATGCATCAATTCCTGAGTGATCTAATAAACCTTAATTTGATTGTCCAGCTTCACAAGTGCAGACAATGTCCAAACCGTATTATACAGTCTGTGGTCTAAACTCCAGGGAATACTTGATTCTGGCTGATGTGGTTGTAGATATTCCCTCTTAGGATATCGTCCACTGTGGAGGCGATGGTGCCGGCCGACAGACCACCTTCACTTTACGTGGGTCGATATACGATGAGAGGAACTTGGTCGTGGAGAACCGGCAGTCTGATGATGAAGTTATTTAAAACTTTGTGAATGTTTTGCCCCATCGAAAAAAATAAATGCATCTTCTGATTGCAACTGCTCTTTTGGAATAGTTGAAATATTTCACAAACTTTCTTATGGTGCGAGTAAAAACTACATTATTTATATTTTCATACATCTGAGATCATTTAATTCTGACATCAGTGACTTTCTTCCTTTGAAGAGCTGCAGGAACTCGCAGCAGATGTGAGGCGGTGAGAGCATTTACAGAACAGCCCCTTCATTTTTTTTAAGGCCGCTCAAAAGTAGGTCCTTTTTTTTTTTTATATATGTGGGGCAGTTTTTGTGATCAGCGCTGAACCCGTGGAACAGCCCTCTAATCAGCCTTTCCAGCCTTTCTGTTTCCATTTGCAGTGTAGAATCCAACATCTATGACTGTAATTTTAACTCAAAGTGTGCCAAAACAACAACAAATCCTAGCTACTGGATGTAACTCCCAAGTTCTATGAACACATACAAAACAGGGCAATGGAGAGCTTATAATGCCAGCCTATGTGGTGGGTTTTAAGTTGTTGATCTCGCTGTTAGAAATTAGAAATCTGCTCCTTGACGAGGACATCGAGAAGTCAGAAAAACTCTCACTCGTTCTTTAATAATTTAACACGTGAGCATTTTTTCTCCCCTGAATTTAACCAATCAGTGGCAAGATCCCTACAGAGGTTTGTCAGAGCTTCTCAGTACTTTTTCTTTCCCGAAAATAGCCCTGCAGGTATAGCAGATAGTTCCTGTTTGTTAAAAATGAAGCTTGAGCAGGAGCTGGCTAACTTAGCTTAGTGTAATGTTCGAAGACACAAACCTGCCCTGCACGAAGCACTTTTTTGTCTTTGAACAGAGCCAGACGAGCTTTTTTTGACCCTGTCTCCTGCATGGATGCTAAGTTGTATTAACCGGTTTTTCCTGTACCTTAATTTCAAATAGATCAATGTAGAAGTGGTATCAATTTTCTCATGTAAATACTGACAAGAGAGTCAATATGGGTATTACCCTATAAAGCCTTTCTTTAAATATCTAACTTATATCATTTAACTTATACTGTTACGACCTGGCTCAAGACGGCCGCAACAAAAGCAGAGACACACCAAGTTTCAAAATTAAAGCTTCTCTTTATTCCCTTAAATTATATCAAATTAAAAACCAAACCAATATGTGGTTGTGAGAATACATGAAGTCAGTGGTGTGTGATGTATGCATGAATTATGTCTGTGCAAGTGTTGTAAATGCAAACGTCCTAAACAAAGAAAACTAACCCATAACCAGACTGATGCAATACCTGCAAAGGGAAGCAGAGCAGAGAGAGATTAGACTGCAGTCAGCCCTTAAGTAACCCAGGAACACACTGGGTGTCACAGGTGCTCCTGATTCCCTTTAACAGCCTCTCACAGAACCAATAGCCGAACTAGAACCACCCACAAGACACAAGATGACCTCAGGGGTCATCACAATACTACGCTGGATGGTGCTGGGTTTGTATGAATTAGTATCTAACAATCCCTTTATCTCTGTTCTGCATGTTAGTCAAGGTGTTTGCAATCACCGGTTCCACTAGTGACTGTAGCTGGAGAATGAGTCTCTGTTTGCTTTTTTTCCAGTATCTCTCCCTCCCCTTCAACCTGTGCCAAGTGGGCAGTAGCATTAAGTGCAATATTAAAGAGTCTTTGTGCTTGACCTGCCCTGTTCAGAGTGCGTCCAAGCCATCTGTGTTTGAGCGCACGGCAGAGTGTGTGCCACGTTTTGGAGGGTTTTAGGGTCGATCTTCTCTTCACCCTGACGTCTGAACCATGAACTGGGCCTTCCTGGAGGGCCTCCTCAGCGGGGTGAACAAGTACTCCACGGCGTTCGGTCGCATCTGGCTCGCCATCGTTTTCATCTTCAGACTCTTGGTGTTTCTCGTGGCCTGCGAGAAGGTCTGGGGAGACGAGCAGAAGGACTTCGATTGCAACACCCGCCAGCCCGGTTGTCACAATGTCTGCTACGACCACTACTTCCCCATCTCCTACACCCGACTCTGGGCTCTGCAGCTGATCTTTGTCACCTGTCCGTCCCTTCTCGTGACTCTCCACGTGTCCTACAGAAAAGACAGAGAGCGCAAGCACCGGCTGAAGCACGGGGAAGACTGTGCGCCTCTGTACGACGACACCGGGAAGAAACGAGGAGGTCTCTGGTGGACGTACTTCTTCAGCCTGCTCTTCAAGATGACAGTGGATGCTGTTTTTGTCTTCTTGCTGTTCTACATCTATGAAGCCACCTTCTTCCCTCCACTGGTGAAGTGCAGTCAAGACCCATGTCCTAATGTGGTGGACTGCTACATTGCCAGGTAACGTACACCTTCAAGGTTCTAAATGGCCAAAGATTCATAAATTTCCATCCTGAACTCTAACAATGTGTTTCTCAGGCCCACAGAGAAGAAGCTATTCACCATCTTCATGGTGGTGACCAGCTTCGTGTGCATATTCCTCACTTTTTGCGAGGTCCTCTACTTGTGTGGGAAGAGGTTCGCGGAGTGCTGTCGAGGAGGATCTCAGCCCATGAGAGGAAACTCTTTCATGATGACCAGAACTCCTCTCACTGAGAAGCCAAAGGTGGCGTACAACGGGCCCGCCCTGGAGAAGTCCAAGATGGTCGACAGCGGCAACGGAGAAGCTTCAGCGCCGGCGTACAGCATCGCAGTCTCCTGAGAGACACAAAGAGCTCGAGTTATGAGAGTAAAATACAAATCTAAGTTGAATTATCTGCGTTTTTAGGAAATGTTGTTTACGAAGGTCATGTAATTTTAAAAGTATTTTTACATGAAAATTAGCACCTTTTTGTCCTTTAATATTGTTGAGCTGAGTGTTTATGTAGAGCTCCTTTTTTTTTTTTTAAATAAACGTTTGATCCAAAATGATTGATATTGACTAGAAATAATTTATTTTGACAATTTGTATGCTGTGTATTTTTAAGGTGCATGAAATAAAAATCAA